GCTCCTGGTGTGGCAGATAGTGCTGTGCTGTGGTCCTCCCATTGTGTTAATTTTACATCTTGAAATGGGTCAGATGTGGGATTGCAAACTAGTACCGCCTCTTGGAAAGACACATGGAGAATCCTCAGAGCACTAAAAGTTGACTTCTCATTTAACTCCACAATCCCATTACTAGGTATCTACCCAGAAGAAAAAAAATCATTTTACCAGAAGGACATTTGCAATAGGCTATTTATAGCAGCTCAGTTCACAATCACCAGAATCCACAAACAACCCAAGTGCCCATCAACCCATAGGATTAATAAACTGTGTTATATCTACACCATGGAATACTATTCAACCATAAAGAAAGACGCAGACTTTAGATCTTTTCTATTTACATGGGTAGAGTTGGAAAACATCCTTTTATGTATCACAAGAAGGGAAAACCAAGGATCCCGTGTACTCGGTACTAACATGAAACTAGTGGATGGACTACCCACTTCCTGGTGCCTCCCAAGGGAAGGCCCGCCCCAGGTCAGTTGGAGGTCTCTCCCTGGCCAATGGGATGTCCCGGCCAAGCGGCCACTCATGGCCGCAGCAGCCCAAGCTGTCTGCCAGATCTGATTTGATCTTTCTCGCACCCTAAGGAATAGGTTAGGCAGGTATCATTATCTCCATTCAACGTGATTTGATTTTAGGGACATACAGCTAAAAAAGATCAGTGAGATACGAAGCCACTGGCCTCCTGCCAAGTGTTCTGTCCTCCTGTCCTGGAAAGTACTACCTACTGATGGAGACTGACTTTAGCTCCAACTTGTGCCTTCCCAGGGAATGTCACAGCTCAAGAAGGCATTCCTTGCCCTACCAGGGTTTGGGGAAGGTAATTTCTGGTAGGAGGAACTCTCAGAGCCAGTTATCTACCATAATTTCAAGGGCTTAAGAAGTCCACTGCTTACAAAATGCTTCCATCATTTGTTTAGCCCTTTTCTGTAACCTAAAGGCTTTGATGTTCAACTACAATATGGTTCTCTGAGTAGGATGGATGCATGTGGAGGGTTAATCTCTCCTTGGTACAACTTGTTCATGAACAATTATCCTGATTCCATATGTTCTTAAAAGTTGTTTAGACATCTAAACCAACAAATAGTATCCAGAGCATTGAAGGAGCTCCTATAAATGGATAAGAAAAAGAGAAACCACCAAGTTTAAAAATGGGAAAAGTCATCAGTAGGATTTCACAGAGGTTCACACAAGAACGCCCAGTACTCATGTGAAAATATTCTCAGCTTCATCATTCATCCCAAGAATGCCCAGCACTCAAGTGAAAAGATATTCAGGTGCATCATTCGTCAAGGAAACTCAATACAAAACAACCATGAGTACCATTTCACACCCTTCTAACTGGCAAGCATTAAAAGGTCTGGCAGGCCTCACGACTCTACCTGTGATCCCAGCCAGGGCACTGCAGCGGTACTGAGTAAAGAATCAGGGTCTCACACTGCTGGTGGGCCGTGAACTAGCACAGAGGTATGAAGGTCAACTAGGCAATATCTTTTAAAATTAAAAAGGAATTTCTTGGACACAGTGACTGTCCTTCTAGGTACTTAACCTGTGGTTACAGTAACGTGTCCTGAGAGTAAATTTCAGTCTCATTCTTTTCTTTCTTTTTTTTTCTTTTATTAAATCATAGCTGAGTATGTTAATGCAGTCATGGTTCAGTCTCATTCTTTCTAGAGATACATATGAATGAAAGGATTCATTCAGTCAAGACATATTTATTCGGCTCGGCGCCTATAGATCAACCGGCTAAGGCGCCAGCCACGTACACCTAAGGTGGCGGGTTCGAATCCCCAGCCCGGACCCGCCAAACAACAATGATGGCTGCAACAAAAAAATGGCCAGGCGTTGTGGCGGGCGCCTGTGGTCCCAGCTACTTGGGAGGCGGAGGCAGGAGACTCGCTTGAGCCCAGGAGTTGGAGGTTGCCGTGAGCTGTAATGCCACGGCACTCTGCCCAGGGGGACAGCTTGAGGCTCTGTCACAAAAAAAAAAAAAGACATATTTATTCAATTCTGCTATGTTGAGACAGTGTTAGCATGAAAAGATGCCAGGAGTCCCTAAAAGTTATGTTTCTTGTTCCCTGCAGCTTCCTTGTGAAAAAAAAAAATGTGAGAAAGAAAGTGCAGAACTTCTGGCCAGCCCTCCCACTGTGGGCATTTCCTGTAAGTCACGGAACTTCCCCTCCTACAACCAACCATATTTAAAACTAACCATATTTCAGATGCAATCATATAGCTGAAGATATACTAGAGTAATATCAATAAAAATAACAACTAGCTTTTGTGAGCCTCTCACACCAGCAATATGAGATCCCCGATTCTTTATTCAACACTGCTGGGGTACCCTGGCTGGGATTATTTAATCAGGAACTCATTTAATCATCACAGGAGCATTATGACATAGGAATTATCATCCTCATTTTTCAGACAATATATCATTCAATCTTATAAACAGATTACCCGGGCCAAGATCATACAGCTTATTAGTAGCAGATTCAAATCATACAGAGCCTGACATGATTCTCAATGCCCACAGTGCTGCTGACATCAAGAAATTCAGGGTAACTTTAGAAAGCAAACACAACTGAGATGCAGATTTCCTTACTGCATAATATTGACTAATCTTACCTTTCCCCTCCATGAGCATAGAAACTGGAAGGTGTCTGTGTCATGGGCAGGGAGGAGCTGCTTAGGGTCGGCCCTGAGTCGGCCACTCTACCGCACATGACTCCTGCAAGTCACTCTGGGCCTCTCCCTGCACCTTCCTCACGGGTAAAACAGGGGAGACAAATCACATCCCCCCCTTCCCACTTTCAGGGATGTTGTCAAGTTCTAAACAAAATCATATACACACAGTCAAACTATTGTAAAAGGCATGAAGTGCTGCACAGTGCTGGACACTGTGAGGGCTTCACCCCCAGGGCGTGGGGTGCAGGGAGAAGAGAAATAGCAGAGCAGTGGACAGGGCAAAGACCCTCAAAGGGAAGGTGGGGGACTGCGATGAGCCTGGGAAGAACCCCCGCAAAGGGAGGGCAGGGACAGCCTGGAAGACCCATGAAAGGAAGGCAGGGGACAGTGGGTAGCTGTGGCTGAACACCAGCACAAGAATGGAAGCAGAGATGGCGGTGTATGCAGAATAGCCCTGGATTTAAAAATTGTAAAATCAGAAAACTTACTCTGACCCAAGTTAGTAAGATGACAATATCCTCACACAACACTTGGAATAACACTGTGCCAAGGATTACCCCTCAGGGATCACTGGTTGCAATCACCAACCTCACTCAAGCCAATGAAGAGGGATGGTCGGCCATTAGCCTTATGTTTCAGCAACAGTTCCTGATGACAGTAAGGAAGTAATGTTACTGGTTCATTAACTAAAAAAAGGAGAAACATGTACTTTGAAAGCCTGTGAGATGCACAGCCCTCTCACCATCACTGTGGGAAAGCTTGTTTATAATGCAATAAATAAAAATTTGAATGGTAATTACTGCCGGCCTTTGTCAAATTTATTTTTGTATTACTTTTTATGTGCCAACACTCAATAACTATGAATTCATTTAATTCATTAATTTACTTAATCCTCAAAGCCACCCGTGGGTGTGGAGGGAGTCTGTATTCCTCACAGAAAGGACCGGGTGCAATCCAGCTCTTTCCTGCGTCAGACCGGCCATTTTAGAAATAAAGGCATGTCAGCCTCTCAGAGGAAGGATCCTGGAAGGAGACAGACAGAAAGGACCAGCCGGAAGACACAGGCAGAGCCAGCACTGTCTACAAAGTACCAAGCCCCACACTCAGCGACCAGGATGCAGAGATGAAGCCAGTGAGAGGGCAGGATTGCTACCACCAGACGGACAGTGACCAATACCCCACAGGAAAGGAAACACTGAGCAGGACGGCACAGGTGGCAGGAACCCCAGGACAGGCCGCAGCTGGGAGACATTTGTCTGGTCTTGGCAGATGGTGGGAGGGGCCAGGCTGAGAGATAAGCACATGGTCCCCAGGGGCAGAGAGAAGCCACCAACCAGCAGGTCCTGTCACTTCCCCACTTGGAGAAGGAGAATGAGGTCTGAACCCCCTGGGCCTGCCCAGACCATGTCCCCTTGATCAGTTCCTGCACACTGGGCACCTCAACTCTTGTCATTCCCCTGGGGAGCCGTGCTAGAGTAACTCCCAGTCGCCCCGACGCGCCCAGCATGTCCACCAGCCACACTGGCCGGCTTGTTAGGCCTGTTTCCTCTCCCGGCAGACGGTTTGATCCTTCCAAGTGCACAAAGCCACCTAGAGTGGGGACGAGGCCTGTAGGCGCTCTCTGTCCTCCTCCCTAGAAGGAGTTCCAGGAGCGGGGCCTGTCCAGCCCTAGTCTGGCCCTGGATGATGGGACCGTGAAGCGAATGAATGGGGCGCCTCAGTGAAGAGACAGGTGTGCACTGAGGTCCTGGACGGAATGTGTTTGGGAAATAGCTAGTCGCGAGTAGAGCTTACGAGAGAAGCACGGACAGGGTGGGAAGGAGGTGCTCCGATGGGAATGTCGAGGGTGGGGGGCGGAGGACAGCCCTGGAGTCGGATTCCTACCCCCACAGGTGCAGCACTGCGGGCACCGAGCCAGGTATTGGGGGAGGGGACGCAAACCTGAGTAAGACAGTCGCCGCGCCTCCCTGGATGCCCTATGTTCAGACCCAAACGCACGAACAGTGACGGGGTAAAGGGACCGTGCTGGGAGCAGCCCCTGAGCTCTGCCCTAGAGACCCGGGAAGAGCTCGGGGACTGGTCTTTTCCGCGGCCGAGGGTCGGAGTAGGGGGTCGCGCCGGGCACCCAGGCCGCGCCGCCCGCCTACGAGTCCCGGACCCGAGAACGTCACCCAAAAGGCCGCCCCCGGCCGCCGAGCCCCCGCGTGGCCCTGGCAGCCGGGTGACAGGCGCCGGCTGCTGGGCGACAGGTGCCGGGGCCGCACCACACTCACCTCGCGCAGCCTTCCGAGCCCAGCGCGCCCTCCACAGCCGCCGGGTCGTCTTCCAGGGCCGCAGCACAAAAAGCAGCCTCTGGCTCCGCTCGCCGCCCTTCTCGGCCCGGCTCATCCGTCCGCCGCGCGCTCCCCGCCGCGCCGCCGCCTGAGGGTCACAGCGCGTTGCAGCCGCCTCCGCGACTCGTCTGCAGGGCGCCGGGTGGCCCCGGCGGGGCGGGGCCTCGGGGGCGGGGCGATGCCGTGGGGGCGGGGGCGGGGTGGAGCCGCGGGCTGCAGGTGCTCGGGGCCCACTCTTCACGCGCTGGCGGCCGCCCGAGTAGGCGTCCTTAGTCACTACCGTGAGCCTGGGGACGTGCGCTCATTTACCTCCGAGTCACAGCGATAAATCCAAGCTCCGAGCGCGAAGTGACCTGCCCAGAGACCACACCGCGCTCAGTGACGGCTCCTGGGCTTAGCTACTGCCTCGGAATGAATCAGCATTGAGCTAGAAATTTCTTTACAGGCTGGCAGATATTCTTGTTGTCCTCATACAACAAGTTATGACTCACCCATGACCTCGCGAGACCCTCGTCTAAGTCCAGCCACTTTTACATACCCGCGGTTAAAGCTCAGAGCAGCCCTGTGTGGGAGGCGACTCCCCGGGCTCCAGATGAAGAAACTGAACCAGCAAAACTGAGGCCCCTCCACCCCACCCCACCCAACTGCTGCTTATGGAGGAACTAAGAGAGATGTAAAAATCAAGACCCCTTAACACGGCCTGGCTGCGGTAATAACAGCTTGTGTTTATGGAGTGCGTTTATGACAGATTTTACACATGTATCTTATTTAACCCTCCCAAGAATATTAACGGGGAGAAACAATATCCAAGCTTAACAGTTGGGGAAACTGAGCATCAGAGAGGCAGGTCACATACCTAACACCTCAGTACAGTTTGAATATTAAGTCAAATTATAAAGTTGCTATTTTTATAGGCGGGAACAATTGAACATGAGACAGAGCTTCACCGTGTGACCCAAACTAAACCCACTAACAGAGACAGGTGAGATTGAATGCTCCCAGAGAGGACATGCTGAGAGGGACGCGTCACCTCTGAGCATTCTGGCCCAAAGTGCACAACCTGCGTCTAATGAGGAAACTTCACATAAACCCCAAATGGGGGGCAGATTATTAAAAGAGGGAGGGAGTCCTTCAAAAGGGTGTCATAAAAGAAAAAGGAAGGCTGTAGAGATGGTTTAGATTAGAGGATGCTACACAGAGATTTCAACCTGACCCTACATTGCACCTAGTTTGGGAGGTTTTTGTAAAAAAGACTCTCAAGCTAAGGGGCCAAGGTGGGAGAATCACTTGAGGTCTGGAGCACAACACCAGCCTGAGCAAAACTGACACCTCATCTCTACTAAAAAGAAAAAGAAAATAGGCTGGGCATGGTGCTGCACAGCTGTAATCCCAGTTTCTGCAGAGACTGAAGCAGGAGGAACATTTGAGCCCAGAAGCTTGAGGTTGCTGTGAGCTGTGATGACCCCACTGCACTCCAGCCAGAGCAACAGAGCAAGAGTCTGTTTCAAAAAAAGAAAGAAAAGAAAGAATAAGGAAAAGAAAGACTTTAAAGGACATTAGTGATTTGTTTTTAAAAAATATATGGGTGGAGATTAGATATGAGTATTTTATCAAGAATAAATTTAATGACATTGATAACTATACTGTGGTTATGTAAGAAAATACCCTTATTTTTAGAAAATACACACTGAGGTATTTAGGAATAAAGGACTATGATGCATTTAACTTACCTTCAAGTGACTGAGAGAAGAGAAAGGGGGTGTGTGTGTACATACAAAGTGAAGTGGGAGGAGTCACTGTCCTCAATACTAAGGCCTGCTATAAGCCTACAGTTAACAAACAGTGTGGCAGAGGGCCAGACATAGACACACAAATAAAATACAGTTGATTGTCACAAAGGTTTAAAGCAATTCAGTGGAAGAAAGACAGCTTTTTCAGCAAGTGAGGTGGAGCAATCAGACATCCATAGGCAAAAGAAAAAACAAAAGGAAAAAAATGAACTTTGACTTAAACCTCATACTGTCTATAAACATCGAGTCAAAATGGATTGCAGACTTAAATGCAATGTGTGAAACTATACAATGTTTGTAAAGCTATGGGGAAAAAATCTCTAGGATCAGAGCTGTACAAAGAGCTCATAGGATTATTGCCAAAAGCATAATCTGTAAGAGAAAAATTTAATAAATTGGACCTTATCAAAATTATTTTTGCTCTGCAAAAGACCCTGTTAAGAAGGTGAGAAGACAGGCCACAGGCTGAGAAAAATACGTGCAGGCCACTTGTCCAGCAAAGGAGCAGGGTTTGGAATCTGTAAAGAATTATGAGCACTCAATGTTGAAAAACAAATGCTCCAATTTTAAAATGGACAAAAGACATAAACAGATAGTTCATGGAAGAGGATGAGCAGATGGCAGAAAAGAAATTCAGTATCAGGCTCGGCGCCTATAGCTCAACCGGCTAAGGCGCCAGCCACGTACACCTAAGGTGGCGGGTTCGAATCCCCAGCCTGGACCCGCCAAACAACAAAGACGGCTGCAACCAAAAAAAAAAAAAAAAAAAAAATAGCCGGGCGTTGTGGCGGGCGCCTGTGGTCCCAGCTACTTGGGAGGCGGAGGCAGGAGACTCGCTTGAGCCCAGGAGTTGGAGGTTGCTGTGAGCTGTAATGCCACAGCACTCTACCCAGGGGGACAGCTTGAGGCTCTGTCTCAAAAAAAAAAAAAAAAAAAAGAAATTCAGTATCATTAGCCATTAGGGAAATGCAAATTAAAACAACAATACCATATCACTATACACTTAACAAAATGACAAAATCAAAAAATAGTAATATCACCAAAAGCTGGTGAGAACCCAGAGGGACAGACACTGGATCACCCCTGATTACAGGAATGCAAGATGGCACAGCCACTCTGGAAAAGAGTTCAGCAGTTTATTCTGAAACTAAACACACATCTACCATACAATCCAGCAAATTTTCACTCTTAGGTACTTATCCCAGAAAAATGCAAACGTGTTCACACAAAAGCCTATGCATGCATGTTCACAGCAGTTTTACTCTGTAATAACCAAAAACCAGAAGCAACACAGATGTCATTTGATGGTTGAACAAGCTGTGATGCATCCACATTGTGGACTTCAACTAAGCAATAAAAAGTAACAAACTACCAACACACATAATAATCTAAATAAATCCCCAGGGAATTAGGAGCCAATTCCAAAAAGAATGTTATATAAAATACTTGAAATGGCAAAGTTATAGAAATAAACGACAGAATAGTGGCTTCCCGGCAGGAAGCTGACAGGTGAGACTATATCAGGGCAACAGGAAAGACCCGTGGTGATGGAACTCTTGATATTTTCACTGTGTTGGTATCAACACACTATTAGGAGTTGTGATAAGAGACCATACTTTGCCTAATATTACCATTAAGGGAAAATGGCTAACCAGTTACATCAGACATCTGTATTATTTCTTACACCTGCATATCGACCTACAATTATCTCAAAATGAAATGTTTTAATTTTTTGTTAAGTTCATAGTTACAGTTCTGTGTGGTTCAATCCAATAAGATGTGGTTGAGCCATAATCCAACATAGGCTCATGATTTCATAGCTACATTTGACTTCCCCATGACCCTAGCACACTCGAGGAAGCCCAGAATCACTGCTAGGTCTCAGCGAGGAGGTACAGAGGCCCAGGCCTGTCAGGAAGGGTTGAACTGCTCTCCTTGCTTAGAATAAGGCCCTTAGTGGTTTAGATAAGTAACACTCTAAAAGAATTTTGGGGACAGTCGTATTTTACTATTTCTCTAATTCAGAAGAATAAGCAGATGGATATATGAAATGAAGAAGGGGTAGCTCACGCCTGTAATCCATCACTCTGGGAGGCCGAGGTGGGTGGATCCCCTGAGCTCAGGAGTTCAAGACCAGCCTGAGCAAGAGCAAGACCCTAAAAATCTCTTCTAAAAATAGAAAACTAGCCTGGGGTTGCAGCAGGTCCCAGCTACTCAGGGGACAGAGGCAGAAGGATCACTTGAGCCCAGGAGTTTGAGATGTGAGCCATGATGCCACATCATTCTACCCAGGGTGACAGTGTGAGACTCTGCCAAAGAAAAAAAGAAAGGGAGGGAGGGAGGGAGGGAGAAAGGGAGGAAGGAAGGAAGGAAGGAAGGAAGGGAGGGACAAACTGGGAGAGACTGGAAAGAATGAGACGTCCCACCTCTGTCAGTAATAAGCTGAGTTTCCTTCTACACTGGTCTTCTCTGTGGCATCCAGACTGAAGAAATGAACCCCTAGAGAAATGATCTAATCAGCAAAGCTAGCCAGGAATCATGGCTCCATGTGACCAGCCAACACCCTAGACCAGGGTTGCCCTCTGCTCCTGGGACTGCTTACAAGGGCCTTAGAGTGCGAACACCTGCTATCTAGTCCTGGTTACCCAAACCATCTGGGAGAGACTGGTTAATTCCCTTCCCCTCCTGCTTACTATCTAACCACCATCGCTACCTCATTCCCATGAATGGAAGGGTTTTAAGCACAAGACATCCTAGGGGTCCCCTTCCAGGACCCTCCACTGTCCTTTCTCTGTGTCCTGACTCTCACTAACAGGTTCTTTCTTCAATTGTCCTGACACATCCAGTGGATTCAAGCAGCTCCTAGGAGGGGCCTCACACCCCCTAATCAGATTTCACTGGTCAGGAAAAGATGAGAGGGATGTTCTTTAGCTGCCCTCAGTCTAAGTGTTATGTAATTCAATGGCTTTCATCCAGCTGGAGCTGGCAGACCAGCAGCCTCTGGTCCCCCAGCACAGTCTACTCCAGGCCTCTGCCAGAGTCCCTCAAGGCCGCAGGAAAGAATGTGGCCTGAGAGTTTCCACCAAGTGGAAACATTTAGGTGCCCCAGGACACAATTATGAGCATTAACAAGATGGAATTTCATTGAAAGTATCAAAAATGCAAAATAAGTAAGTCTAGCTCAGTGGGCAAAGAGAAAAAAAGAAAAAAAAAAAACACCGAACTCTATTCATGTCATTGTGTTTACAAAGCTAGATCCGGAAATATGAACGT